ATCCAGTTATGCTACTGAATTTGGTTATTAAATCTAGAAGTCTTTTGGTGGAGTTTTGGAGTCTTCTATGTAGCCTATCATGTCATCTACAAATAATGATAATTTAACTTCTTCCATTCTTATCTTTATTCCTCTCATTTCTTTCTATTTTCTAATTGCTCTGGTTAATGTTTTTTCCAGAACAATATTGAATAAGAGTGGTGATAGTAGAATCCTTGTCTTGTTCCTGATTTTGGAGTGAAAACTTCCAGTTTTTGTCCATTTAGTATGATGTTGGCTGATGTTTTGTCATAGATGGCTTTTATCAGTTTGAGATAAAGACCATCTATTCCAATTTTCTGTAGGGTTTTTATCATGAATGGGTGTTGGGCATTGTAAAATGCTTTTTCTGCATCTGTTGAGATGATCATGTGATTTTTGTCCTTATTTCTATTAATATGGTGTATTACACTGTAGATTTGCATATGTTGAATCATTCTTGAATCCTACTTGGTAATGATGTATAATCTTGATGATTTTCCACATTCTGTTTGCCAGTATCTTATTGAGGATTTTTGAATCTATGTTCATTAGAGAGATTGGCCTATAGTTCTCTTTCTTGGTTGGATCTTTCTCTGTTTTTGGTATCAGGATAATGCTTGTTTCTAGGAATGAATTTGGGAGTATTGCTTCCCTTTCAATTTCTTTTTTTTTTTTTCTTTTAAAGAATAAGGGAAGGATAACATAATAATAGGGGGGACTTAGGAAATTACAGACAAAATGGTAGGAAATTATCAATGGTTATCATTTTACATATTATTGTCTACAAAATAGTTTCTCAGGAAAACAAATAGACAAATAATAGTGAGTTACAGACAAAAGAGGTAGGAGATTATCAAGAGTTGTTGTACTATACTTTGGTATCTTCAAAGTGGCTTCTAAAGAAAATAAATAGAGCTATACATGAGTGACCTACTGAAAAATCATTAACTCTTCTCAATGGTTGTTGTAGGAAACACATAATAATAAACATACATCCATTTATGAAATAGGATAGGAACATTACAAACTTTACACAGTTATGGATAGATTAGTAGGAAAATATCAATGGCTGCTGCAATACGTGGTGGTATCTTCAGAGTGGTTTCTCAGGAAGACAGAGATATGCAAGAGGGACCTATTAAGGAGTTACAGCCTAAGGGTTGTCAAAAATAGCATATTACCTCCTCACCAGTGACTCCTTTCACTGTCCCTTTCAATTTCATTAAAGAGTTTGAGAAGTAGCAGCATTAAGTTTTCTCTAAATTTTTTTTTTTTTTTTGGTCTTTTTGAGACAGGGTCTCTCTATGCAGTTCAGGCTGGACTTGAGCTCACTTTGTAGCCCAGGCTTGTCTCAAACTCACAATGATTCTCCTGCCTCCGCCTACTGAGTGCTGGGATTACAGGTATGAGCCATCACATCCAGCTTAAATTTTCTGTAGAATTCAGTAGTGAATCCGTCAGTGCCTGGGCTTTTGTTAGTTGGTAGGTTTTTTATTATGTCTTTGATTTTATTAACTGATAATGTATTATTTAGAATTTTTATATTTTCATGATTCAGCTTTGGTAATTCAGGTATATCTAGGTATCTGTCCATTTCTTCTGTGTTTTCCATCTTATTAGAATACAGGTTCTTGAAGTGGATATTAATGATCTGGATTTCTGCAAGGTTCATTGTGATTTCACCGTTTTTATTCCTAATTGCATGGATTTGAGTCTTTTCTTTAATTTTTTGATAAGGTTTGCTAAAGGTTTGCCAATTTTATTTAATCTTTCAAAAAACTGACTCTTCAATTCATTGATTCTTTGCATTGTGTTCTTGGTCTCCACTGCACTAATTTCTGCTCCAATCTTTATAATAATCTCCCTTGTATTAGCTTTGGGCTAGACTTACTCTTCTTTTTCTAGCACCTTTGTTCAAAATTTAGCTCAGTTGTGATATTTATTGACTTTTTTGTCTAGTTGATCTGTATATTTGTGACAGTGGGGTAATGAGGTCTCCCATTAAAATTACATTAGTGCTTATTTGATTTTTCATGTCTATAAATATCTGTTTTATGCATTGGGTATCTAGCATTTGGTGCACATACATTTATGCTTGTTATCTCTTCCTCTTGGATTGCTCCCTTTAAAAGGATGTAGTGATCTTCTTTGTCTCTCTTGATCAGTCTTAGCTTGAACTTTACTTTGTCTGCAAACAGAATTGCTACCACTGCTTTTTTCTGAATTTCTGTCTCATGGAATATTGTTTTACATCCTTTAACTTTCAGTCTAGGATTTTTTTTTACTTTATTTATTTAATATTGTTTTTCTTCTGGTACCAGGAATTGAACTCATGACCTTGCACTTGCCAGGCAGGCAGTTTGCTGCTGAGCTAAATCCCTAGCCCTGATTTTTTTTTTTTTAATTAAACATATTTCTTGTAGGGGCTGGGGATTTAGCCCAGTGGCACAGTGCCTGCCTGGCAAGCGTGAGGTCATGAGTTTGATTCCTGGTTCCAGAAAAAAAAAACACAAACAACAACAACAGAAAACATATTTCTTGTACGCAGCAAGTAATTGCTTGCTTCTTGATCCATCCTGCCAGTCTGTTTCTTTTGATTGATGAATTGAAATAATTTATACTGATCGTTAAAACTGATATGTATTAACTTATCCTTGCCATGTTATTTTTCTGTTGTCCATTCCCTTTTCTCCCCTTCTGTTTAATTGTTTGCCTTGCTTGTTGGATTCATTATGTTGGGGTTCATGGAGTTGTAGTTCCAGTTATCTCTTTCTAGAATGTCCTTTATAATATTTTGGAGTGCTGATTTTGTGACCATGAATTTCTTTAGGTGTTCTTTGTCAGGAAGTATCTTATTTCTCTATCAATTTTGAAAGATAATTTTGTGGAGTACACCACTCTGAGTTGGAGGAGATTTTCATTTATGGCTTGAAATGCTTCATCCATGTTCTCCTTAACTTGAAGGTTTGTGTTGAGAAGTCTGCTGTGATTCTGATGGGCTTTCTTTTGTATGTGATATGTTTTTTTTTCCTCTAACAGCTTTTAATATTCTGGTCTTGTGTTGAATTTATGCTTTTTTTTTTTTTTTGGTACTGGGAATCGAACTCAGGACCTTGTACTTGCCAGGCAGGCATTTGTGCCACTGAGCTATATCCCCAGCCCTGTGTTAAATTTCTGGAATCTTGACTATTGTGTGTAATAGTGGTTTTGTTTTAAAATGGCTAATTGGAGTTCTATATGCCTCATTTACTGTATATCAAATTCTTTTTCCTTGCTTGGAAAATTTTCTGCCATTACTTTTGTAAACAGGTTTTTTTTAGTGTCATTTGCACTATCTTCTGCTTTTTCATTACTCTGGTCAATCTTATGTTATTCTTCTTTGCACATCTAGCAGCTGTTGGATTGATTTTTCAATCTTGCTATTTTTAAGAAATCTTTCTTTTCATGATCATTAACTGCAATCCTGTGTTCTAGACCTGATATTCTGTCTTCACAATGGCTCATTCTGCTGTGTATACTTGCAATGGAATTGTTAATCTCCTTGGTATCTGTTTGAATCTGTTTCATGTATTCCATTTCTTTCCTATGTTCATGATTTCCATTATTTTCCTAAGCTCCTCCTTTTTTTAAAATCTGTATGTGCTCTAAAGTCATTAACTATGTCTTTCATTATGGTCACCATCTCTGTAGTTGTGTGAGACATTATTTTTGTTTTAATTTTTTCTAGAGCCTCATTCATCTGCTTTATTTCTTGCACTGTTATCACTTCAAAGAGTCCTGGTGGATGGTTTTTGGATTGTTCTACCTCATTGCTCCCTGGGTTTGCCTTTGGTGTGCTGGAAGTCTAGGGATGCATCTTGCTGAAGTGTCTTCTCATTTTCCATTTTTATTTAGTTTTTTATTATTTTTATTTTTATTCTTTATTTTTAATATTTTATTTTTATTTTTATTTTTTATTTTTATTATTTTTTATTTAGTTTAATTCCTGGGTTGATTCTTGTAAATTGTTTATGACAGGTAACTTTATTACTAGTATTTAGAACCCTTAGTAAATGACTACTTCTCAGACATGTTTTCAGGTGTAGCTGGCTTTTGGGTTTTGAGTCTGTTGCAAGATCCTACCTCTTCAGCTTATTGGGGTTGAGAAGTTGCTGGCTATGCGGCCTAACCCCTTGTTCTTTGGCACTGGCCTATAGTGTTTTTTATGTCACTTAGGCAATCTCAGTCTTGGCATACCAGGAAGAATGACTGACTAGAACAATTATATCACTTTGAGTAAAGAAGTACAATGAACAAGAACAATAGCTTCAAACACAGCCTCGAAAATGACAAACTGTGTCACTATTAATTTGCCCTCTTTAACAGTAGCAACTAGATTTGTGATTATGTAACAAAATCTAAAACAAACTAGAAAACTGTATATAGTATGTATGACCTCAGTATGGCTATTTGACCCTCAGGGGAGAAAACTCAAAAGGGGTCAGAGGAAAATATAGAGAAATTGAAGAAGAGGAAGAGATTAGAAGCAAGGCTGGAAGACCAAGGAAGAGTATGCAAACTTTTGGGAAACAACAAGAAGAAAACTAGAAATAATGTTCATACTCATATAAAAACATGAGCAAACAATCAAGAATAAAGAAAAAAGGAAACAAAACCAGAAATGAAACCAAAAAACAGAGAAAGAAAAATGAAGAAAAAATGTTCACTTTGGGGTGCGTCCCTGCTGTCATTAGTAGACAGAGTGGTCAGAGAGAGGCCAGAACCGTGTCGACTAATCCCAGCAAGCTAGGCATAAATTTATGCAGGGGTAGTGGATAATCCCAGCAAGCTGCACCTTTAGTTCCACTGAAGTTCAGGCTGGTTTCTAGCTGTGAAGCTGGAACCCAATTTGTTCATTCAGCCTGCAGCACTCTGTGTGCCCCCTGCCAGCTTGAGGTTGGCTCCTTGACATCCTGCTGATCTGAACTTGGTTCCTTCTCACCCTGAGACTGGGAGATGCTAGACGGAGTTGCTCCTTGTTCTGACCTCAGTTGGCCTCTCTCCGAGATGGCTACCAGCCAACTGCACTGTCCAGAGGGACATCTGAACCCAAGTAAGTCACTAAGTACTGCAGTCCACTGCGCCATCCCAACGGTGCTTTATTCTGTGGAGGCCTTTGGGGTCACCAGTAGTCCCCGTGAGTCTGAAGTTTCAAGCCACCCCTCCCACACAGTGAGTCAGGGCTCAGGGGAAAAGTGCTCTTTGCCACCTCCTTCTTCCGCATTGAGGTCTTCCTCTTTGCTCTCCCTATGGGCTTCAATTCTCACTTCAGATCCTTCTGGATCCCAGGGACCCATTTCTCTCCTTCTTTTCTTCACATTGCTATATTCCAATGTCTGGTCACCAAATCTCAGAGAGGCTGTTTCTTTGTACTTCACCACTGCATCTTCCTGGAACTCCTTGAAAACAAGAACAGATTTTATCAGAAATAAAGAAATAGGATGTGGAATGAGGATTCAGTTTTCTGTTTTTGGGGGTTTTCTTTTGTCTTTTTTTTTTTTTTTTTTTTGAGACAGAATCTCACTGTGCAGTTCAGGCTGGCCTTGAGCTCACTTTGTAGCCCAGGCTGGTCTCAAACTCACAATGATCCTCCTGCCTCAGCCTCCCTAGTGCTGGGATTATAAGTATGCGCCACCATGCCCGGCTGAGGATTCAGTTTTCATTTGGTTCATTAAATCTATAAGGGCATAAAGCAGGTAATATAAAAAGCATCCATGTTTCCATCAGAAATGTTTCTTAATTTAGTTTTCCTTTCCATCTTTTTCTTCTTCCTGATGAATGGACAGTGGATTTGATGGCTAGAGGTGAGAAGCTATCTTGGACCATGAAGTGATCTTAGAAGAGAGGCCTGGCATAGCAGACCAATTTCATAAAACACAATCACCACATTTTGTGGTCTTTTGAACTTTTATGAAAAATAAATTTATACCTTGTTGGGTCTGGGGATTTAGCTCAGTGGCAGAGTGCCTGCCAAGCAAGCAGGAGGTCATGAGTTCGATTCTGGGTACCAGAAAAACAAACAAACTAACAAACAAAAAAATTTATACCTTGTTGAAGCCACTGTTGCTTGCAACAAAACATAATTCTAACCAATAAATCTCACAATTTCCAACATATCTTAGGATATCTATTAGTATATTCTAGCAGAATATATAGTCATAAATTTTTATTGAATAAGTTTGGGCTTTGAGAATGTACATTATTTTTATTGATCCAAAAGTTCATGGGCTAAAGCAGGATAACAGTGAGGTAACCCAAGGCCAGGGGGAAGTGAAATCAAGCTGCTCAAGCAACCAGGAGACCAGCAGTTGTTAAGCATGTAAGGTATGAATGGTCCAGGGTAAGGCTGAAAGGAACAAGATACTACTTACAGTGGGGAACCAGAAGTCAGAAGAGTTGGGGAACATCCATTTCTGGTTGAGATGATAATGAACCAGCAGCTCACCTGGTCAGTGGTTCTCAAATAGGATCAGTTCTGTGCCTCAAGGGACACGGATGCTATCTGGAGACATTTAAGTTGCCACAACTGGTTGAAAGATGAGTGGTGCTGTGATCAAACAGTATGCAGAGGCTAAGGATGTTGCTAAACACCCTACCATGCATGCGAGAAACCCTGCAGCAAAAATTACCTGACCAAGAGTTGGTAGTGCTGAGGCAAAGAAACCCTAGTCTAGCTGACTGTAGCCATATGGTGTGGACCCAAATTCCAACACTTCTTGGAGTTCAGGCCAGAAGTAAAATGGATCATTGAGCCAGCCTGGATAACAGCTTGGAAAGAGACCATCCAGACTTTTATGATCAGCATCATTGAGCAGACTTCATGACTAAACTGAGTACCTGCAAATTGCTCTGTGAATATTGAAAAGCTTGTTCCCCAGAGTTCCTCCCACAACGTGAAGATAATTGTAGCCTTTCAAAGGGTAAAAAGTTCGCAAGCCAACAGGATGAGTCTTGGATATAAAATAGATGTACAGTGCAGACTTGAGGTGTCAGATAGAGAAGCTCCCTTTCTGAACATGGAGAGGGCAGTGGCATTGACATGCAGCTGCCCTTTCTATGTGTGCCAGCTGAGTCCTAGTGCAGGAATCACCCCCACATACCCAAGGCTGGGGCTTGGGCAGAGACCCATGCCAGAGAGAGCTGAGAGGAGACTTGTGTTCTGGATTCTGCAGTTGGGCTGCTGTCTGAACTGGAGTAACCCTCTGATTTTTGCAGGCATCGTTTTTCTTATAGCTTATAAGTCAAAATTACCATTAGCTGAAGGGGAGGCCTGAGGGAAAAAAAGGAAAGCAAGTTGATTGAGCTGCTCTGGCTCCCAAGCCTTGTGCACATAAATCATCAAGTCTAAACCTCAGAATATCCCTCTCAGCTCTGCAGTGACAGTACTGTGGAAGCAAAGATCTATTTATGTTCTGTATCTATTAGCATACATACATGTATTTCTCATATTAATTAAATCATAATAGATAATTTTGTCTCTCAAAAAAAATTTTGCCCAGCTGCACTAAATGTTAATGGCATGCTAACTGTTTGCAGAGCACTATGCTTATTGTTTGGTTCCTGCCCATTGAAGGCTTTCATTCCAGGGGGAAGCAGTCACACAGACAAATCACAATAAAAGTTAGAAAGCCATAACACCATAAAACATATATAAGCAAAGTCTTATGGGTTCACAGGGAATGGAATAATTAGTATTGTTTTAAAAAGTGGTTTCAATTGAAAAGTGATTTCAGTCATTCATTATTTTGCTTAAAAATATTGCCACTCTGCTATATTGCTAGTCTGCTAAATGCTGGAGATTCAAAAATTAATGAGACCAACAAGTCCTTAGCTCAGTGCAGAAGAGAGACATATACTGAGAAGAGGCTTTGGAGAGATATAATATTGAAGTTGTGCACAGTCCTTTCAAAGGTCAGATGTGGGCCTGAGGGCAGTTGGGGTGCCTAGTTCCACGGAAAGAAAAACCCTAAGCAAATACTCAGCACCAAATAAGCGTGTATCTCATCAGCCTCCACGTGGTTTTTCTCTCCGCGACCCGAAGCCCAGTCCATAACCACTCCCTGTAGACATCGCTTTGGAAGTGGATTTCTCCCTCAGTGAGCTCTAGAACGTAAAACCCTCCATGGGAAGATCTTTTTGGTTGCATTGACTTTTCTTTTTTTAATTGATCACACTATTTCTCCCACTGGCAATGATCTAGATTGTTTTTGATCAGAAATGACTACTATTATTATTATTATTACTGTACAGGAGACTGAGCCCAGGGCTTCTGCACTGGGCCATACTTCCAAATCTTTTTATTTATTTCTTTTAAATTTTGAGACAGGATCTCGTTAAGTCACTAAATTGACCAGGGTGGGTTTGAACTTTGAATCCTCTGGCCTCAGCCACCCAGAGTGCTGGGATTATAGGTGTGCACCACCATTCCAAGCTGAAAATTATTATTAAAATGATAGTGAACGTCCTTATATTTGTGTGCATTTGTTTACTTAGGGTGAGTATTTCTAGCAGAGTTAAGTTTTAAAATGGGGACAATAATAAACTAGTTTCAAGTGTGAGTCACCAATAGCAAGGGATCCCGGTATCCTAAGGAGATGAGGGATACATGAGACAGTGCTGAGCTCCCAAGTGAAAAAAAAGTAGAAAGAGAAGGTGGCAAGGCTCTTAAGGCAAACTTCACCTGCGTCCTAACTTTGTCTAATGGCAGTTCTGTTCATAACCTCCAAACTGGGTGTCTTGGTCCATTTTATGTTGCAATAACAGAATACCACAGAATGAGCAGTATATAAAGGAAAGAAGTTTCTTTTGGCTCATGGTTCTGGAGGCTGGGAAGTCCAAGAACACGGTGCGGGCATCTACTAAGGAAGGGCCTTTTCGTTGCATCAAAACACAGCACCGGGCATAGCACTCATCTGTTGATGGATATGGCATTCTCTTTCCCATTGCTACGAAATGCATGAGGGTGAGTAATGTGTAAAGAAAAGAGTTTTATTAGCTCACAGTTCTGAAAGTTTAGGGGTATGATGCCAAGTTGTCTTTGCTTTAGTGAGGGTCCCTTTAGTCACATCATATCATGATGAATAACATCACAGAGGGAAATGTAGCAGGGGAAGGAAGAAGGGAGGGAGGGAGAGCGAGAGCGAGTGAGAGAGAGAGAGAGAGAGAGAGAGAGGTAGTCACATGTTGAAACAGAAAGCCAGAGAGTAATTCAAGGCCCATGCTTACTATTTTATACCAACCCTCTTGAGGAAACTAACCGAACTCCCACATAACCATTTAATCCCTTCTGTGAGTAGTGCCCCTGTGACCTAAGACCTACTGGCTTCCATCTCTTCAAAGTTCCACACCACCTCTTAACATCACCATACTGGTAACCAAGCTTCCAATTACGAATCTTTGGGGGATATGCTCAAACCATATCCAAACCACAGTAACAGACATTTGATTTGTTTTCGCATGTGGCTATTACAAATAATGCTACTATGAACATTTGTGTAAGTGTGTAAAAATTGTGTATATATTTAATTATCTTGGTTATAGCCAGAAATAGACTTGCTTGATCATAAAATGAATCGGTCTTAAGGCCAAGGGTCTAAGGAAGTTTTTCTTTTAATAGGCTCTATTTTTAAAGAGGAGTTTAAAATTTTTAACTTTTAATTTTTTATGTGGCACTTCATATGGAACCTAGAGCCTTGTACTTCCAGCCAAGCACTCCACAACTGAACTAAACCCTTTTCCCGTTTTAGAACAATTTTCAGTTTACAGCAAAATTTGGAAGATATAGAGCTTTTCCATATACCCACTACTCCTTCACATGCATAGCTTCCCCAATTATCAACATAGGGAAGTTTTCTGTTTGTTTGTTTGCTTTTGTTTTTTGTCTTTTTGAGACAGGGTCTCACTGTGCAGTTCAGGCAGGCCTTGAGCTCACTTTATAGCCCGGGCTGGTCTTGAACTCACAAGATCCTCCTGCCTCAGCCTCCCGAGTGCTGGGATTACAGGCGTGCGCCACCACTTCCGGGAACATAGGGAAGCTTTTGAGTTATCCGTATCTCAGTGTAAATTACTTCAAATAGACAATCAGATTACCTAGCTTGTCAGAAGAAATTTATTTAGTAAGGGATCAGGAGATAAGGAGCATAAAGTTCTAAAGAACTTGGAGCAATGTAGTGGAAAGTATTAGTACTAGAACTCTTCTTGCAACGGAAACTCCACAATTAGATTTGCAAAAAGGAGGACTTGTTTGGCAACTTCTCATAACTTCAGCAAGGGTATAGCTGGAACTCAAGAATATCTGGAACCAGGAGAGCCAACAAAATCAAACCTCTTTATCATCTCTGCTTCTCTCAGCACAGCTTCTTCATAGCAAGGAGCAGGACTATCTACAGCTTCCTGCCTCAACTCTTATAGCTTTGCCACTAGACAGGGTTTTCCTAAGCTCCAACTCAAACATTCCTGGAGCTAGATGCTCGTTAACTTGGCTTATGATTTGACCTAACCTTGATCAGGCTATGAAACACACTGTGGTCAGTGTAGGAAATACTCAAATTGGTCAACTGTGACTAAAGAACAGGATTTGGAGTAATTTGGAAACTTCTTTTGAACCACATGATTGTAGTGGGAAAAATAGCATGCTCTAGAAAGAAAGCACGTTCCCTGGAAATGGGAGACAAGCTCTACATAGGCTGTCACAACGTTGGGCAGTGACAACACTGAATTTAGGGGAAGGGAAGAAGGTTCAGAGAGAGTTTTCAATGTAGAAAAGATAAACTCCTAATAGTTGCAGTTGGTTTCTGGGCTCTAGAAGTCCGGACATCCCTGTACAGCAAACTTGTCCCACCCCATCACCCATGGTGTGTGGCTGTGCTTGGATCTAAGAGATCCCCAAAAGTCTCGTGTATTTGGAAGGTGATTGGACCATGGAGACCTATACTCACCAGTGGATTCATCCATCGATGATTCAGTACTAAATGTGCTGTTAGGAAGTGGGGCCTGGTCAGAGTTGGGTCACTGGGGCTGATGGGGAAGGATGCAATCCTGTCCCAGGGTCCTCTGCTTCCTAGCCGCCATGCGGTGGGCAGCTTTCCCCTACTAGGCCTTTCCACCGTGCCGTTTCTGTGTTGGAGCCTGCTAACCACACATGGGTTGGGTGTCAAAATAAACCCCTTCTCCTTTAAGTTGTGGGTGTTGGGCTGTTTTACCCAGCAACTGGAAAGTGACAAATATATTTATGTTTCTGATATCGCAAACCATGTATTTACTGAGCCGTCTTCCCTAGAGGCCTCTTAACTTCTATTATTCAGATAGATGGGGAAGGAAATGCATCTAATTTTGTCCATCAGTATTTCCTCCCCAGAGGATTAGGTCATAACATGAACCACAAGGTCCTGAAGTGGTACATCATATAAAATATCACATTGCACCAACTTGCTGTGTCCCTGTGATCTTTTCTAGCTCCTTCCTGCACTGAGTTCATAGTATTTAGTGTGTTTACATCAAAAATCATCTTCTCTCTTTTTGTTTGTTTATTTGTTTTTTTGTTTTTCTCCCAGTACCAGGAATCGAACTCATGACCTTGCACTTGCCAGGCAGGCACTTTTGCCACTGAGCTAAATCCCCAGCCCCAAAGATCATCTTCTCAGATAGGTCTCCCTCACCCACCCACACATCCTCACCCTCATTCTCGCTTGGGATTTCCTTTTTCTTTTTCACATATTTCATCACCAGATATCTACTTATTATGCTTGTATCTGGATGTCCCTCCAAAGCTTCATGTACTCATAGGAGGGGCATTTCAGAAGTGATTGGATTTAAAGTTTGTGAATGTGGATAAAGGTTTTGATACTGGGATTAAGGGTGTGGATAATGGAAGCCTTACCCTGGTATGGATGGCAACAATAAATAGACTTGTAGTTTGGGTGAAATATAAAGGGACAGAAAAAAGCCATGCTTGCAGCTTGCTGCTAAATGCTTTGTGTCTGTCATGCCATGAAATGTTTCTCTCCGATGCCCCTCTGCCATGCCGCCCTGTCTTGGAGCCAACCAACTATGGACTGAAACCTCCGCAAACTGAGAGCTGAAATAAATCTTTCCTCCTTTAACTTTGGGGACCAGTTATTTTGTCCTGGCAATGAGAAAAGTAACTAAGACACTACTGGTCTCTGTTTACTGTCTATATCCCAATAGAATACAGGCTCCATGAAGGCAAGGAGTTCGTTTATTGCTAAGCACAACGTGTAAGGCAACATCTGTCACATAACATGACAGAAAAAGGGTTTCTCAGCCTCTCCGCTAGAACAGTGGTTCTCATACTCATTCGGGGTGAAATACCAGGGGTAATAATATATTTAATTTCACCTTATGAGAAAGGAATATTTTCTTGCAGAAAAATGGCTGTATACATCTACTTTTAGTGGGGCTTTCAGTCTGATTTAAACTGTAATTCAGACATCAAGATGGACATGTGGATCTTTCCATGATCAAGATCAGCTTTGAATAAGTGACCAAAGACTCCATTTTATCTGTATATGTACATAAAAGTATGTACATAAAATAGAAGGACAATCATGTTTGAAATAGTGGTCATCCTCGGGAACGAAGAAGAATAAGGTTCAAAAGGGAATTTAGCATTAGGTTAATGTTTTACTATTTTTAAAAGAAGGATAGATAGGTGGAGAGACAGAGACAGTGAAACACTGATTTTTTTTGTAAAAATAGTATGAACATGAAAAAGACTGGAATCAAATATTCAAAAATATTACTAGTTAATTTGGGGTGGTAGGGATATGACCAATTACTTTCCTCTTTATTCTCTTACTTTTTAATGCTCTTTCACTAAATGAAATACAATGTGAAAACAAAATCATAAAAATGGAATATTTAAACTATTGTTAAGAAGGGTTTTGTTGTACTAAATTGACGAATAGCTTAACCATTTTTCTTCCTGCCACACCAAACCCAGAATTCCTCTTTCTCTTTTTTAGACCATTTTCTTTTAATAGAGTACGGATATTCTGAACATCTCTGGAGAGCAAAGATGTGAGCATGACCTTGTGCCACATCTCCATTTCCTGTAGTCATTTTAGATTCAGAACAGATAGCACATTATCTCTAATCAGCAGTGATTCTGCTTTTTGGAAGAATACAATTTTAATATCTGTTTCTATTAATGTCTTGCATTTTAATATGCTTCGTAGAGTATATTCCCTGAAATCTATGGTAAAACTTACTTGATCATAAAAGTCTTTAATGGTTCTAGTAAATGCTCTGTACTCCTTTTTAGAGTTTGTTTTTGTGCTATGTTGCTGGGGATCAAACACGCACTCTCCCACTGGGTTACATCTCCAGCCCCTACGCTCCTTTCTTAGCGCTTGAAATTTTAACAATCACAATAGCTGGCGATGGCTGAGCCGCACAACTGTCTAGGACAGAAACTTTTTTGTCTGTTGAGTCAGTTGCTGTGTTTCCCTCATTCCTAGCACAATAGGCATGTAGCATAGAAAGTTCTCAATGAATTTTTTTTAAATAAAGAAATGGGTTTGCAGCACTGAAGAAGTTCTTGTGCTGGGGATGTAGCTCGTGGTAGAACCTTACCTAGCTCATGTGAAGTCATAGACTTGAAAGAGGAAGGGGAGAGGAGGAAGGAGTAGGAGGAGAAAAGGAAAGAAAGGAAAACCCTTGATTATTGCTTAATTTAAGATTTGGCTCACTTCTTTCTGGGTAGGAGACTACTTATATGCATAATAAAACACCAGGGGATGGAAGACTAGACTTGTCAGACTTGGGTTATATGCCCACTAGGGAAGTGAGAGGCAGTATGTATTAAGTTTGAAGTAGGAATTAAAAGTTGTCAAACTCATTGAAGCAAGACTAGAATAGCAGTTACCAGGGCTGGGGAGAGTACTGCGATAGTGTATTGTATATTGAACATTTTCTTAAAAGGGTAGACCTATGTTTAAATGTTCTGTGAGACAGAGAAAGAGAAGGAGGAAGGGAGGGAGAGAAAGACAGCAGGGGAGCTGCTTTGAGGCCAGGAAAAGCACATCTCATTCCAGGACCTAAAAGGAGGCCAGTGTGGCTGCGGCAGAGAGCACGAGGAGGGGTTATAAGAGATGAGCATGCTGGAGAATTCAGCAGAAGCCAGATCTCATAGGCTCTTGTAAGCTCTGTGAGCCTTGTGAGAGAGCTGGGTCGAACAGTCGAAAAATCATGGAGGGATTGTAAGTGTGGATCTTGAGCAAGCTTGTTCCCTCATTCAACACGTTTAGAAAGTAATATCTCCATGACAAGACCAGATGCACAGTTTAGAAAGAGTACTTCACAGCATGGGATGCAGGTGAGAAGGAGCAAGACCAGTGTGGAGGACTAGTGGATGGGCTGCAGGGCCCACAAGAGAGCTGCAGATGGGGGTGGTTGGGGCCAGAGAAGCGGCAGTGGAAATAAAGACATATGGTGATTGGCCAGCTAGGGGAACAGAGAGAGAAGCTCTGAGATCAAGCACTGCAAGTCGACCTTGGTAGATGGCATTCAGCCACGCACTGGGACATTACATTAGATCCCAGGGCGGTGTAACTTGTCAGTTCCTTGCTTCCTATTCTTAGTGTCCTAGAATATCCTTAGAGGCCTGTGACAAAACTTGCAGAGCAACTAGCAGGAACCAGATAACATGCTTAGCTTGGAATAATTCTAAATGGACTTATTTACAAAGAGTTGCTTATAAAAATCTGGTTCAGTGTAAAAGAACCACAAAGGATAACCCTGCACTCTAAGGAGAAGTGATGAGGGGAGGGAGCAGTTACCAGACCCAGAAGGAAATGGTCCGGTGGAAAAGACCACGCTGAAAGAAGCCGTAATCCTTGATCAAGGAATTCACAGGGAAGAAGCGGTAGAAGGGTAAAAATGTTCGGTGGTCTGCATGGGAGTAAGGTTTCAAACACTTTAATTTGGAAATAAAATGAAAGCAGGAGGATGTTCTCATCTATTGAAAAAAGTCCCTCCACCCCACCATTACTTTTTTTTAAAAAATTAAGGTATATCTGACAAATCAAATATATGTATATGGTTAAACCAAGCTGGTTAACATATCTATCACATCACATGTTTATCATTTTTCCTTGTGAGTCCTTTACTTATCCTTATCTGTTACTCAGGAGATTTAGTTGGAAATGAAAATAAACATTTTGAAATCTAACGCTCTTGCCAAACTTCTAGCAAAATTTTCTAAAGCATATTTTTGAGAAGAAAAGATTTTGCACAGAAATTCAAAGGAGTTCAGTCAGCAGCCTGCACGAATGTGGGGTGTTTTCTGTGAAGACAGCCAAGGCAACTCCCTGGAGCTTAACCACATCGGGACAGGGAATGTTGGCCAGATGACAAGATTATTCTGCTGTATCACGACTCTGACTTTCCCAGACTTTCTGCCTCTTTCTTCCCCAGTATCCAGCACACACTAACTGTAGTTTTCTAGGCACATTGTCTCTTTAAGGTCCATGAGAAATAATACAGGACAATTGTTGTTCTTGCTTAAAATTCAGCTAGCCAGCACTTTCCATTTGTGACCTAGTAAGACAGGTTAGATGGGTATCTTATTTCTTTGCTCTAAAATGTTATGATCCTGAAACAGGCTTTTAATATTTGTCTTAATGGCCCTGGTTTCCACCACAAGTTAATGATTACTTGTGGTCTGACAGCTCCCTTGGCACTGCACCAAAAACAGGAGCAAGAAAGCACATTCTCAGCCAGACAGGCTTAATGTCTAAGCCAGACATTCAGCTGAGAATCTGGATTTCCTCTCGTCTCTATACCTCCTTCACTTAAGCAAAAATGTCATCTGGCAGGTTCTTTCGGTTTCCTAACTCCAGAAAGCCATTTGAGCCCAGCAATTCCCAAAAATGTCACAGCATTTTCAAGTCAGTATAAATGTCAATCTTTCTTAAGTAGAATCTTGCTTTTAACTGAGACTCCAAGTTAAAAGAAATCAAGTACTTTTTCTCTACTTAGAAAGTTGATGATTGGGCAACCCATTCAGGCCCCCTTCTGTCCCTCTCTTGGACAGAAGCTTTCTTTCCCTCAATCAATACATTCTGCTCTTTAAAAAAAAAAAGTTGATGATCAAATATTGTCTTGGGATAGATCAGAAGTGTGGAGAGATCACTAGCAGGTTGTGAGTTGGACACAAAGAAGGTAGAGTGCTACTCCTCTTTTTCCTTAATCCTGCTGCTCTAGCTCCACAGAACAGTTCTCCCCTTGAGAAAGGTGAAAAAACAGAGGAGAAGGAGGGGAAGGCTGTATGCAGAATGTGGGAAAGCTTGGCTTTGGAATACTCTATCAAACTTTAATAGCAACAAAGAACTTTCACTCAAAAGCTTTAGAAGCAAAGCTAAAAGCAAATTAATGACTAGTTTTCAAAATTAAGATTAGAGCCGGTTGTGGTGATGCACGACTGTAATCCCAGCATTTGGGAGGCTGAGACAGGAAGATCATTGAGAGTGCAGGACCAGCCTGGGCTACAAAGTGAGCTCAAGCCCAGTCTGAACTCCATAGCAAGACCCTATCTGAAAAAGACCAAAAAAAAAAAAAAAAAAAAAAAAAAGAAAGTAGAAAACAAAAAAATTTTATTTAACAAAAATAAAAATTATTTTTAAAGATTCTGTTCTAAGCATAATCATTCAAGGGAAAGCAAGATAATGGCAAAAGAAAGGAAAACAAGGAAGGGGAAAGAGAAACTTTAAAAATAATCTCAACGATTGTTAGATTCCTGAGAAGCATAGATCTAATGTATTCCTATTAGTAGTAACATATTGTGATTCTTTTGAAAGTACAATCCTTTAGATTAAGAAATACTGGTAAATATCATTGGAATTTATTTATTTTGGTGCTGGGGGTTGAACCCAGGACCTCACACATGCTAAAAATATGATCTACCACAGAGATACACCCTCAGCTCTTTTTTTAAATTTTGAAATAAGATCTGGCTAAATTTCCCAAGTTGGTCTTGAACCTGCAATCCCCCTGCCTCAGCCTTCCAAATAACTGGGATTATAGACATGTGCTGTAATCATGCTTGGTTCCTGTTTTGTTTTGTTTTTGTTTTTGCTTTAAGAAGTTTCTACCTAGAATTTAGATGACTAAACACTTACAAAATCCTCCATTATTATTATTATTATTATTATTATTATTATTTTTTTTTTTGGTACCCGGAATCGAACACAGGATCTTATGCTTGCCAGGCAGGTGCTTACACCACTGAGCTAGATCCCCAGCATTTACTTTCTTCTTTTTCCTTTTTTTTTTTTGTATCGGGAATTCGGGAATCAAATTCACGACCTCATACTTGCCGGGCAGGCACTGTTCCCAGCCCAATTTTTTTTTTTTTTAATTTTTTTTGAGACGGGGTCTCTCTATGCAGTTTAGGCTGGTCTCGAGCTTACTTTGTAGCCCAGGCTGGTCTTAAACTCCAAGGATCTTCCTGCTTCAGGCTCCCGAGTGCTGGGATTATAGGCATGAGCTACTACACCCAGCCCCAACTTTTATTATTTTAAATTAGAAAAGCTCTTCCTGATGTGAAAAGCATGGAGGGTTACATCAAATTATCAAGAAATAGGTCAAGTTTTGTGGTTTGACATCTCCACTTCAAGATTATGGAATATTGTCACATGAGGTATAGACATGATATTTTAAAATTTTTACTTTTCAAAAAGCTTCACATGTGGAATTATACTGTGGATTTGACAAAATTAAACCAAAAGAGTCCCCCTGTCCTTCCATATGTGAAATCAATGTCAAAAAGTTGAAGAGCCTGAAAATATTTTCAGCATCCCTCATGAAATCTGAATAGCCCAAGGCCTCTAGCCTGTAAGTGCAAATGAAATCATATCACTGTATTTTTATGCACATTTTGTGAGCTCATGATCCTTGACCATTCATGACTTCACCTTCCTGCAATGTTCTCCCTCCCAACTCCACACAAGTCTCTAGGGAGCATTTCATACGTACTCAGGAATAAATCCCAAATTCTGGCCTCTGCAGATTTCTGTGGGAATGTCCATGTCATTTGGAAGAGCAAAGGAACTCAGTTTGGTCTGTGGCTACCTTGCAGGAAGTTTTCCACTCCTGGGATGTTTTTTCAGAACTCTAGGCGGTGAGGTAAATGATTGGCCTAGGAGCCATTTGGGTTCCTCTGCCACTGGGAAGCCCAGGAGTAAAGAGAGGGTCAGAGTGGTGGCGCAAGGGTGAGGTAAGGCCCGGTGAAGAGGAGCCCTACAGGGAGCGGACTGGGGCTTGCTCTCCTTTTACAGCAGGAGAACAAAGAATGTTTGTGGTTTCCTGATTTCTAGAGCAGCTCATTAGAGTACGAGATCAAGTAGATTTGGGATTACATTCTGGACCAAAGCCAGGGCTATTTGACCTGACTTCATCCCCTGGGTATATGTCTTTCAAGAATTTGTCAGGGCCATACATACAAGGGGCCAGTGGGTCCCACTGGATTACACAGACCACAGCTAACTTTATTTTATGCCATGTGTCAGAGATGGCCGCAGCAGAAAAGGTTTGAGTATTCTTTTCCTTTGTTTAGCCTTAAACTTCTATTAGGAATCAGAGAAAATCTCTCTCTGGAAATCTCAATATACATATTAGTTCCTCCCACCGCAAAGCAAATCAGGCAAGCTGTAGGGAAAAAGTTCTTCTAAAACCAATTTTTGGGCTGGGTATGGTAACACATACCTACAATCCCATTACTTAGGAACCTGAGGCAGGAAGATTGCAAGATCTAGGCCAGCCTAGACTACACTGGGAGACCCTGTCTCAAAACAAAACAAAACAAAACAACCACAAAACAATTTTTAGATTAAAACTAATATAACAGTAAAATAATATGGTTTCAAAATCCACATGACTCCTCAAAAACTTTTCCCCAGGGTTAATCATAATATTGGGACTCTGGGATGGTATTGAACTGTTTATCTGCCTTTGGAGCTGCTTTTGCAACAAGCTTTTCCAGCTCACACTCCTTGTCTGATTTCTGGACTTCTGTTATCTCCATCAGATTTGGGTCAGACTCCCCTCCCGAGCAGGAGACGGGCTTGGTAAATGGATAGCAGAGGCAGAGGCATAGATATCTCTTCACACGCCCAGAAGCAACTAGAGGGCGAACTCTAGAACTGTGTCCAAAACTGACATCCTGTCCGAACCAGTGAAGTGCATCCGGACCAAAGGGCGAAAGGGGCTCCATGCTGGCCAAGCCGGATGGAGTGAGAGGAGGGAGGTTTGGGTACTGAAAATGAATGGAGCTGCAGAAGGTGACGGGGTGGATTTCACAAAATCAGTGCCTCAGAGATGTTCACACACTTTCCCTGCAAGGTCTTGCACAGGCAGGCACCACCCACTTGAAAGCGGCAGATGGACTGTATCTCCGTAGGCCCTCTTCGTCCATACTCTCCTCTCTGGCCTGTGCAAACTCCACCTCTATGCCCCAAATTGGCTTAGATTAGGACCTGACCTACGAAATCTACATCACTGCGGCTTCTGTTGGTCTAGTTTATAATTAATTTATGATTCCTTGTTTTACATTGGCTCCAATCCGTATGGGCAAAAACATTTGCTGTTGACTCTTTGCCAGCTTAGATAAGGAACCCTTTGTTTTCCTGAGCAGTGCACCTAGTAGAATAGCCCCGGCCTTTTAAGTTAGCCAGATCTAAAATAGGAGCCCATTCTGCCAACTTACCACCTAATCAGTTTGTCAGTGATTTTAGTTATTATCTAACTACCCTGAGCCTCGGTTATCCCATTTATCAAATGCAGGGAATGAGGTCATTGTGAGGATGACTTGAGGTTTCACTCAGGGACAGCGTAACACTTGGCCGAGCAGGTGTTTTTCATTCTGTTTTCTTTCTAAAACCACCCCATAGGAGAAGAGTGAGGGTAGAAGATGTGACAAAATAGATGTATGAAGTTCTGTTTATTATCCACGCAAGAAGAGAAATGGGATTCTCTGGGCTTATGAGGCATCTAATAACTCAAGAACCTGACCATAGATGAGTCTTCTAATGGCTCAGTCCCAAGATTAAGAATCTTAAGAAAAGCAGTGGTATCTGCAGTATCGGTGGTGTTATTCAATACTATTGGAACTTTTCAGTGAAATCTCAGTAGTGACTTTTTTGCAGTAGCCCTTTTCTTTTTTCACTTGGCAAATTGTCATGGCCTAATTTTTAGAAAGGGACTTGGATGAAAGGAAGAAAACCCTGAATTAGTACCCAAGTTTATAAATAGTAAGCCAAATTAACACTCACTGATGAAATAAATTCATTAAAAATTTTTGTTATGAAATTTTATGTGACCTTTTTTTTTCCATAAAATAAAAAAGAAAGTAGGTGATATAAAAGAAAAATAAATTTTAAAAAACTCTTTCATAAGAGAAAAAGAATTCTAAAAAGGAAACAACAGTGTAGGTTGGCATAATGTTCCTCTAAAGAAGTAATTTTTAGCTGAGCACTGTGGTGTGAGCTTATAGTGCCAGCTAACTGGGAGGCTGAGGCAGAAGAATCACATGAATCCAAGAGCCTGAGACCAGCTTGGCCAACATAGTGAGACTATGCCCCTTTAAAAAAGAAGTGGGAGAAGAGCCGGGTGTGGTGGCACCAGGCGCAGCAGCATGCATCTGCAACCCAGCATGTAGGTGGCTGAAGCAGAGGATTGTCATGAGTCTGAGGCCAGCCTTGACTAGTCTCAGAGGGGCTAGCCTGAACTACCTGGTGAGAGCCTGTCTCAAAGAAACGAAGGAAAAGGAGGAGGGCTTAATTTTGGGGGTTGTTATTAATACAATGAGGGTGACAGCAGCAGAATCACAAATAACTAATTAGAATAAATCTAATTCAGATATGCAAAGTAAAAAAAAAGAAATAAAGAAAGCCTAGGGCTGGGGACGTAGCTCAGAAGTATTGAAAAAAAAGAAAAAAGAAAAAAGAAAGATAAGGAAGGAAAGGAGGCAGACCCAGGCAAAGAATTAATAATAAATAATGAAAATAGTTAATGGGTTAATATTAAAGGAAATATGTAGCCCACACAAAAGAGTCCTGAGGCAGGAAAACACTCAGTGATTTAGAAGCAATGGAGCTGATATACAGAGAGATATGCTGGGTGACAGACGGAGGAGAGCAGAGAGGCGAGTGATATAAAACAGGTACCTGTCACTTGTGATTGCCACAGCCTGGCATCTCTGAGGCTTTTATGCAATGATTTTATTTCAGGCAGAGGATCTAGGAGTCACTCGGCTAAGTTTGTTAACATCCATCCAGATCCTTCCAGTTTCTGAGACTTGGAATAATTAAGCCAGTATGCACCTCCTCCCTTCCACAGAAATCCTAACCTTTATTCCTGAGACATAACAAATAGCTAAATAAAGGATATAGAACTTTAGCCAGCTCCCAATAAGGCAGGGTCAAGAAATTCTGCAAAACGTGTGTTTACTTAAGATTGCCTCATAGAGGGTCACGGACTTTGGTTTGTCTCAAGCTTTCATTCCACCTGAACTGATTTTAACCCACGGTATCATTGTCTGTGGACCTGGCCTAACCTCCCAGAGTGCCATGGAGTTAAGAAAGGGGTCAAAAGTGGCATGGTCCAGATGATAGTAGAGTCCACAGGCTGTCCAAGTTGTGATTGTGCCACTGGGACTGGCCTAATACCAAATCCTGGGTTTGGGCACCACCCGCCAGAGTATTTGGCTTTGTCATGGTACTGGAGACCAAAGGCAGGGGAGGCTATATTAGTAACAATGTAGTTTACTTTCCTGTATATTCCGTAGCTTGTTTAATCTGAAATTTCTTAATTTCTTCTTACTGAGCAGTATTAACCATAGAGTAGTGATGGGGACATGGAGATTGTAGGAGACAGACGCGCAGCAGGAGACAGCTGAGAAAGGAGATGCTCTACTCAGTGAATCTCTCGGTCTTAACCTCGTTTTCTCCAAACACACTCTCTCTGCCCTTAAGCAAAGTGAAACCCTATCTCCTTCATTCAACCTCCCCCTTCTTCCCAACCCATTCTTCAATTTAATCCTTCACGTATCCATTCAAATGATGATTGAGTGCCCGCTCCGCACTGTGCTATGATTTCCTTCCACAGATGCCCATGGGACTTTCTCCTTGTCATACTTGGTTACTTCAGACAATCAATCATTCAATATGCTTTTGTAGATATCTAACCGTGTCAGTTACTGTGCTCCTGCTCTGTAGTCTATAAAACTGCTCCTGGGAATCAACTGGGGAAGACAAGATATAGCCATGTGTCACTGAGGAATGAATGGTAAATGCCAAAAAAATGATACAGACAGAAAGTGCTGCAGCGTGAGGGTTAATGTGGTGAGTAAAGTAAGACACCCTGAACATGTCCGGCTTGAGTAGCAGTCAAATAAATGGAAAAGGGCCTCCAGAAATAGTGTAAGAAAAGGCACACAGTCCTTGCATTAAAAGGCTTGTCAATGGGACAGGCATATGACAAAGCTGGTTTAGCTCTCCCAGCTGAGAGTGATTCTACATGCTACAAGGCTACTCTGAACTCGAAGCTGGGTCCTTCTCTTCTGCTGTCCTTGCTTGGCCCACTGCAGAAGGTCCATCTTGAGGCTCACATAGAGCCATGTCCTGCTTTCTCAACTCATTCCTGCCACCCACTTTCCTAAGAGCTGGATCCCCATTCCCTCTAAAGCCCTAAATTTTGAACAGGTTACTTGAATGACAGTGCTTTGCTTAGAGTTTCGGGGTGTGTGTGAAATGCGTGTTAAGACCACGGACTTCTTATAAATACAGCCTTACTTCTTTTACTGTAAAATAAATTCCTTAAGCAGAAGAAATGCCTTATAGTACACCGTGCTGGTGAATGAAGACTTATTATCAATGAGTAATTCCAACGATACATTTCTGGTAGAATGGAAGATTATCTGGAATAAATTTTTATTCCAGTGAGGACAAATTACTGAGTTGCTCTTGCCATAGTGACGGTAATAGAAAAGGGCAATGTAACCAACTGCCACGAGGTGGCAGTCTTTTCTTGCTGAGTATATAGTCCCGAATTAGGGTACAAGGCCTGTGTACTTGACTACTCAAGGTCAAGGTGTCATTCAGCATTAGCAGTAGCCAGATCAGTTTTGAAGAGGGCAAGCTCGTGTTAAGTTTATGAATAACTGCAAGTACTAAAGCATTTGGGGAAATCAGGGAGTTCTAAGATGGATAATCGTGTCCACTACTTATTCAAAATATCTCAATATCAAAGGCTATTTGATACTCATTCACAAGGGACGCTAAAATTCTCATCTTCTGGGATCGTTTCAAGATACTTATTCATCTACATTTATATATTTCTCCCTAGATCTCCAGCTACCATTTCCTTAGAGTTCTGTTCTTGCTTCCAAGTTTTTAAACATACAACTATACACTTAAGGGCTGGGGATTTAGCTCAGCGGCACAGCGCCTGCCTGGCAAGCACGGGGTCGTGAGTTCGATTCCCAGTACTGGAAAAAAAAAAACAAAAACAGACAAAAAAACAACTATACGCTTAGCTCTTGCCCTTGAAATTGTATGATCTGCAGCTCAAGCCCACCTTTTTTTTTCAAATGTACCATGAGATGTACTAATCAAAGTTATGTTCAGTTGGAAACTTTCCATCTTCACTGTATTTCAGGAGACCACTAAATTAGATGACTGTTACAGTTCATTTTTACTGATCATGTCATATTGTGGAGTCATCTGTAACCTTGGCTTAAATTTCTTCTTTTGTCACCTAGTCATAGAAAAATTTCCACAGCTATGGATTGAAGGTGAAAGGAGTAAGCATACTGAAAGTGAGCACCACCTGCTCATGGACCTACTTAGATCTTCAGAAGCTTTCCCTTCTTCTCTTCTCCCTCCTAGTCCTTCTTCTTTTCCATTCCTAGGGATTAAACCAGGACCTTGCACATGTTAGGCAAATGCTCTAACTCTGAGCTACATCCACAGCACTCTCAAAAGCTCATTAAACCTGACTCTGTGCATGCCACTTCCCAGTGACGTTGGGATGCTCCAGGCTCCCCACACTGATGGTGGTGTGCCTCAGGGAGCTCTCTGTTTAGATGAGCAGCTCACATCATATTGGTCACGTAGATGTGGATGGAATTGCAAAATGAACTCCAGGAAGATTCAGGGAACCGCTTTGGTGAAGTTTTTAGGAGTGCAGTGGTAGACTCATCTTACAATAATCTCT